GCCCGGCGTTGGCGGCGGCGGCATGGCGGAGAGCGAGGCCGAGACCCCCAGCACCCCGGGCGAGTTCGAGAGCAAGTACTTCGAGTTCCACGGCGTGCGGCTGCCGCCCTTCTGCCGCGGGAAGATGGAGGAGATCGCCAACTTCCCGGTGCGGCCCAGCGACGTGTGGATCGTCACCTACCCCAAGTCCGGTGAGCCCCGCGCGGAACCCGCCCCGACGCTGCGCCCGCGCCGGGGGCTTCCCGTCCGGGGCCGGCAGGGCGGGGTGAGGGGTGGGCGGCCCGGGTTTGGGGACACCAAGGCCGAGACCGGCAGAGATGGACTCCGGGGTCCGCGACTGGAGGCTGGACGGCGTCCCCGTGGGCATGGAGCCTGCGTGGCCTGAGCTGCCCGGAGCACAGGCCCAGGGCTGCTGCCCCTCCCCGTCTCCCCTCCCGCGCCAGGCTGGCTGCGTGACCTTGGACAGTCACTTAACCTCTCTGTTCCTGGACCCGGTGCAGCCTTGGATGAGCGCCAAGTCCTGGTGATCCTCTGGGAAGACGACTAAAACGGGCGTGGAGACTGTGCATGTCGGTCCTTTCCTGCGTGGGCACCGGGTGGGGGATGGGACCAGCCATCCCTGGAGTGCGAGCCTGGTGCTCCCTTCGCTTTCTCGGGCTGCCTCCCTCACCCAGGCCTCAGGCAGGACTTGAGGGGGCTGACACTTCCCAGCATTAACTGACGTCATTTTCAGGACAGCCATGTAAGGTCCAGACGGTCATCTCCCCTTAACAGTTCAGGCACCGAGGCTCAGAGAGGGGAAGTTGCCTGCCCAAGGTCACACCGCTGATAAGTGGCCGAGCTGGGATTTAAAGTCAGGCTGGTCTGCGTCCAGGACCTGCTGTAAGGGAGTATGGAGCAGTGCCTCCTGTGAGGTTTGCAGGGTGAGAGATAGACTTCCTGTTCTTTGAGCATACCTGTGGGTCTCCCTCTTTGCCACTGTATTGGTGAGGGAGGGAGAGGCCTGGATCTAGACTGTGCAGTGCGTCTGTAGTGTGGTGTAGACGGTGGCTGGCCTGGAGGTCATGTCGGACCAGCAGGGAGGGGGTGCTGGGAGAGCTGTAGCTTGGCTGTCGTCACTGTGCAGGGTCTCAGACAGCCGAGGGCTAGGCCCAGGCCCTCTGAGGGAGGTTGGAGGAAGGGCGGGGAGCCTGTCTGGTGCAGGGACTCGGAGAACAGCGGTCTGGAGGCACTGCCACTGCCCTTGGGAAGAGGGGAAGGTGGGAAGCGTGCATGGCTGCTTGCTGTGGCTGGGACTTTCCTTCCACCGCAGCTCACAGCCCCTCACCCCAGCACCATGGGCGGGGATTCAGAACTTTTCAGATTGTAGAGCCATAGGTGATACTTGTGCTGTAAGAACTCCTGCTGGGTGTTGGGCTGCGCTTTGGAGCCACCACATTAAGTGGGATCCAGAAAGACTGAAAATAGCCTCAGGCCAGTTTAGGACACGGTTTGCCTCCAAATGAATTGTGAAAAACTTGCTGTTGGGGAGCGCTCTAGGATTTTGGAGTTGCAGGTGAGGGGTTTTACAGCACGGAGATGGAGCGGGAGAAGTAGCTGGAAGGACTGGGGGAGACACAGGCCTGGAGCTCCCTTGGAAATCTGTGTCCTTGGGGCTTGTGGGGGATGCTTTAGAGGGGCCCTACATTGGGGGCCTGGTGGGGCCTGGCAGCAGGGACCTTTCTGGGTACCCGGATAGGGAATGAGGTGTTAGTTTAAGGACATTTTCTAGACACCCGAAACTCACATCTTGTTTGTAACTTGCATCTTTCAAAGCAGACAAGAGCACAGTCTAGACAAGGAAAGTAAACATGGCTCTTTCTGTTGGTGATGGAAAATCCAGTGGTGGCCTCAAGGCCGTGTGTGAGGTCCCTTCACACACAGCCCTGGAGAGCCGCCTTTTGAAAACTAAAAAAAAAAAATTCCCACTGCCCTTACGGGCTGTTCCCGGCTCTTACTGTTTTTCTGTCTACCCCCTGCCTGCTGCTTTTCCCTTTTACACCTGAGGGCCGGGCAATCTGAGGACTACCTGTTAGAACTGTGTGTAAGCCAGGAGCATATAGCATTCATAACCTACCGTGCTCTGTGCTTTCTAGCTAGCAAAGCCCTGTGTGTCATAAAAGCATATTCTCCCCAAAGTTCTGTGAGGTAGGACAGAGTGGGTCCCCCATTTCCCAGGTGGGGAGACAGGATCTGCGAGGTTAAGTGATGCTCCCCAGTGCGTTCATCTTGGCTGCACCAAGGCTGAGTTGAGGTGACGACGGCCCGGGAGTAAGTGAGAAGCACAGTGTCGCGGGTTTCATGGAGGCCAGTGTGTTCTGTTCCTCTTTTGCTTTGTTTCTCCACCTCGTCCCAGTCCATCCTTCTCATCCATCCCATGAGATGGTGACAGGGCAAGTGGGAAGCTTTCTCAGGCAAGATGGCTGTACTGGCTTTAAACCACTGCTTCTGAAGGCTTTCGCTCTCCCTACACCACTGCCTGTAAAGTTCATACGTGAAATGATCAAGGGGGCTAAAGAATTGTCCCCCCTCTCCCTGAAAGTCTGCCCTAAAGATTTTCTCTCAATCTGAGTAAAAGGGACTTGGAAGTTCATCTCCAGCGGCAGCCGGTATAGCAGGAAGAGCCGGTCTGGGGTCAGGAACCAGCTTCTCACAAGTGGTTCCCTTTGAGTGAGTCCAAGCCTCCGTTTCCCCTGCTGTGAAATCCACAGCTTGACCTGCACAGTCGCCGAGGTGGCTCCTGGCTCCTGGATCCTTGAAGGGGCTGTTACTTTGAACACAGGCCAGTCGCAGTTTGGACTGGGACTTGGAATGCTTTAGGAATGGTTTATTGTCCACTCATCAAGTCTTGTGTGCCAGGTGCTCTGCCGTATTAATCCACTTGTGCCTCTTTTCAGAGGCTCAGAGAGGGCAGGAACTTGCTCAAGAGTCACACAGCTGCTGAGAAACTGCAGTGAGGCCCTGTCAGGTCCCCTGGTCCACAGCCAGCCTCTCCCCCACTTCTCAGGGGCCTTGTTGCCTTTGGAAAAATCACAAGGGCAGCCAGACTCATGCCCCAAAGAAGAAAAAGGATCACACCTTCTTTCTGTGTACTTGATAACACTGGACGTCTAAGGCCGCTTGGGGATTTTATGGTTTTTGTCACGACTTTGAATCCTCTGCAGGTGGACTTCAGGTTGCCCAGTTCCCATTTCCTTTCCCTTTTCTTCCCTCCCTCCCTCTTCTCCTCCACCAGGAATGGGTCTGTGGAAGGCACCAGTGCTTAGGGAGTAAGAGCCTGGCTTTGGAGCTGAAAGTCCTGGGTTTGAATGCAGCTTTGCTGCTTGCCACGAGGGTGGCTCTGACAAATGACATAATCCCTGTGAGTGGTGGCTTCTTCCGGGGTAGGAGAGACCACCTCACTGCCTTGATGGACGCCTGTGAGTGTGAGTGAAGTGATGGGTGAGGGCTCCTCCCCGTGCCAGATGCGTGGTGAGCACAGGTGTCTTCTGGCTGGCATATTTTCAGATGAAAAGTTGCTGTAGTTCTTGGTCCTGTGTGGAATGGGTCTTTTTTCCTCTGGCTGCCTTTAAGATTTCATCTTTGATTTTTTTGGCACTTAATATGATATGTCTAGGTATATATTTTCAGGGTGGGGATACATATCTTGCTTGGGGTTTTCTGAACTTCTTGGATTTGTGGTTTGATGCTTTTCATAATTTGGGGAAAGTCTCAGCCATTATCTCTTCAAATATTCCTTCTGTCCTGTTCTCTCTTCTTTTGAGATTACAATTACGTATGTGTCAGATTGTGTGATATTATCCTACTGCTCGTGGGTGTTCTGTTTTTTTATTCTTTTTCCTCTTTGTGTTTCAGCTTGGGTAATTTCTATTGCCCAATCTTCAGGTTAATGGATTCTTTCTTCCATTGTGTCAGGTCCCTAAGGTCAGGTCTGTGAGCCAAACACTATATTTCTGGTACAGTGTTTCTTTTTTCCTTCTAGCATTTTTACTTCTAGTTTTCATCCCTCCGCTGAAATATCTATCCCATCTGTTCATGCATGTTGCCCACCTTTTCCATGTAAAGAATTTCATGGAATTCTTTAATATGTTCATTTAAATTCTGAGTCAGATTCTGATGGTTGTTTTGTCTTTTGACAGCGGGATAATTTTTTTCTTGCCTTTTTAAATGAGTAGTGCTTTTTGATTAGATGCTGGACATGGCATGCTGACATTAGGGAAGGAGGTGAGTTGTATTTAGGCTTGGAAGTGGACCTGTCTTTTCTTGCCAGCTCTTTAGTGTCGGAGGAAAGTCAGTCTGGTAGGAGTTGGGCTGCATTTGGGTTCTGTTATGGCTCTAGTCACTTGAGTGGCCACTAGTTTTAATTCCTGTAGCTTCTCCTTGTATTCAGCATGGGCACTGAGTTTCCAGAGGGTCTTTCCTCAGTGTTGCTGCCCGACCTTCAGCTTTGATTTGAACCTTAGAGGGGTTTCTTCCCACCCTATCACTCCCCCAGGGGTGGACTGCTGTTACTTGTTGCTCTGATTTATTGGCTTAGAGAGGCGGGGTTTTGATGGGGATGTCCCCTGTCATCTGGTCGACGGGGATGTCCCCTGTCATCTGGTCGAGCTGCAGCCTTAGGCAGGTTCCGAGCTCCTGAGCCTAGGCCAGCCTTTCCCAGTGATTCTTTCGCTTCTGAACGGAGCCAACTCGACCTTGATGGCGGGTCTTCTGCAGGAAAGAGCTTCACATGCCTCTTGCAGTGCCTGGGATCTCTGACAGAGCCCAGGGATGGTTTCTTGCCCCTCCCTCAAGGGCAGAGGTTTTTTTTCTTTCACCCATTCTCCAGCCATGTTGGGGCTTCACCAGAGCCCTGGGGTGGGAGGGAGGAATGTTTAACGTTTCCCCGTGGAGGAAACGTTGGCAGGGCTTTTGCCTTTCCTGAGGCCTTGACTGAGGAATAGTCTCCATCCTGCCACCCGCCACCCGCCACCCTTTCTTGTCAGCGCATGTGTAGGTCTGCAGAGAAGAGTGTGTTTGGTGCCAGCTCTCTCCTTGTGTCTGGCCCTGCAAGCCCACAGTCATTTTTACAATTTGTGAACATTCTGCCTGAATTCCGCTTTCTCACTTGCATGGTGCCTGGCTTCTCTTCCTGCCGAACCGTCCCTGGAAG